TATTTGGGATGAATTTGCATGCCAACGGTAAGTACCATTAATTTTCTATCTTGTTTTTATCACTAGATATTACTGTAGAAGAAATGTCAAAATCTTAAATTTGTTTGCAACTATTTGCGTTTATTAGTGTGAAAGTAGTATATCTTGGCCCAGTCTAAAATTTTTATATATATCATAGCTGTGGCACTATAGGTACAATTTGTTTTTTATTTTTAACCGACTTCCAAAAAAGGAGGAAGTTATCGGTTCGTCGGAATATTTTTTTTTTATGTATGTATGTTACCGCATAACTTTGCACCACGTCAACCGATTTGGTTTAGATCCGATCATTGGATCATGAAATATATAGATATATATATATTTTTTTAAGTCGGTTTTTTTTTGCTAAAAATTACTTGTTTTATAGATTATTCCTAGTCGATATCGAAAGTATGCAGAATTTTTTGAAGAATGGCTGAAATATGCAAAAATGTATGTTATGAACTTTTTTCTTTGGCAAAGGTTTCGATAGTTGATCATGCTTAAATGGGCCTTTCTAAATTCAATGGCATCCCCATTTTTCCGTATTGGATCCAGGTAACGGTACTTGAAAATTTTTGTAAATAACTCACTCAATTTTAGAGTTATATTCCTAAAATTTTGCACGTGACTGCTTTTCTTAATATTACTTATTATAACATATAGCTTCCATTCAACTGATTACACAGGTCCACAAAAAAAAATCGATGAAATGTTCCTTTGACCAAACCTAGTCTGTTATATGTTTTTGGGGTCGCTGAACACGAATTTGAAGTCCGTTTTGCTCCATCACGTCTGGACTTTTTTCTAACCTCAAAAAACATCTCGGATTTTACGTGACAGTGAAAATTCGGGGTGTTTTTTGAGGTTAGGAAAAAATCTAGATGTGATGGAGCAAAACGGACTTCAGATTCGTGTTCAGCGACCCCAAAAAACATTGATAGACTAGGTTTGGTCAAAGGAACTTTTCATTGATTTTTTTTTTCGTGGATCTGTGTAATTAATGGTAATTTTACGAGTGAAATGATTGTCCAGGTACAAAATTGTATCTATGCTAAACAATTATTTCGGTTAGAGTGCTCTGTAAATTATTACCGGTTCCATTTACAATTGCTGGATTTGAACAATGTATTATGGAATTTTGATTAAAAATACAAAATCAGCGTTATTATGAGTTTCATTTTCTTCGAACTGCTTCACTTATCACTTTTCGTTCCGTGTATTCACTACGGACGTATCAAAAAATTTCGGGCGAATTTGTTTTCGGGCGAAACTAACGATAGATAAGGTTGAATGAGAATATTCTTTTGGGAGTATGGTTCGATTGCTTCGAAGACAGTTTAAATTCTTCGACATTGTCCTTTCAGTGTTCAGTTTTGAGTGCACTCATCGCGAATTCATGCAGGACGAATTCAGAAGGAACCAGCTCATTAGCAATGGAATAAAAAGCCGAATCCCGATCTGCATTGTTAAGTGAGAAGAAATATCGTGAATGTCCAATTACTTCGACATGACGATTGGTCCAGCAAATTAAATCTCTTAATTTCACAATGCGTAAAACTTTCATTCGGAGACCACGGGATTGAGATCTGCATGGGTTAAAGTCAAGTTATTACAGTTAAATAAACCATCAGAGCCCCTTTGCTTTATGGCGATTTACCATAATAAGGACAATTCTTGATGAATGCCCACAAATGCATTAATTAGGCAGTTAAAAGATTTCATCTTAAATACGTCTATGTAAACTGGATTTATGTGGACCAACGATATTCACCCATTTCGAACTTGCCACCAACTATGCTATACAGATTCATCATCGAACCAGATCATTGTTCCAGACAGTGAATGAAGAGAAACAAGTTTTTCAAATTTATTACGTTGGCAACTCTAATATCGAAATTGATTAGCGTTGTGCGATTAACTGTGCTATGATACGCCAGATCATTGGAAAATTTTAAGAATTTCGTTACGGATACAACGATTTCGTTAGATTATTTAAAATAGCAATGGAAGATATGCCTTCTGACGACCACAAAACTATATTTAGAGCAGAAAATGTGCCACTGGAAGTCTTTAAGTGAATACTTGGTGAAAGTGTGGTACCAAAATGTTCCTACAATTACAATTTCACTGCACAAAATGTACATAACGTGATTAGATACACCCATGTCAGTCAGAAGATCCAACTAAATAATTTTGTTCAGCTAGCTTGTTCTATTCGAACCACTGTGCGATGTGAGTGCACCGGATATATTGGATTTCATATGATAGAAGCATATTCAAGCTCCGAGCGTAATAACATTCAAACGGGCAAAAGCAACGCCTACGTCCCATATAATAGTAATTTACAGAAGTACGAAAACTGCGATTAGGGTGATTAGATACACCCATGTCAGTCAGAAAATCCGACTAAACTACCTCCCATATAATGGTAATTTATTGAAGTGCGAAAACTGCGATTAATTTGTTATTGAAGCTAATTTACTCAAAATTGTTGTTTGGAATAATTCCTTCGCAAAAATTCGAGTATAACAAACTTTTGGAAAATGGGCGTGGCACCGCCCACTTATGACTACATGGGTATCGGTAACCGCTTTATCGATTTCTACCAAACAAGGGTAAAGTATTTCAATGTTTGAAACAGGGAAAGAACTATATTAAATACGTGCGCCGGGTATTTAATTTTCGGCTCTACCCGAGGTCACACTTCTTTGCTTGTTAGCCACTAAAGCATAAAATAAAAACAAATACTTGTACCTAGCCAAAATACTCGTGGGCTGTTACCCGTTTATAATTAAAACCAAATAACAAGCACTCATTTTTGAATGTCGCTTAAAAATAATAATATGTATGTAAGAAATATAAATACATATGTGCATATATGTGTATGTGTATTGTACATGCACATAGTAACCAAAGGAGAATACTTGTATCTAAATAGGTTTTCGGTTAAAACCTATATTTAGAATACATATTTTACAGGACATGAGAAAAATGAGACTATCCGAAAGAATTCAAAATTTAGAATTCAGTAGGAAACCAATCTGGAATGAATAAAATGGTTGAGAGAATAATGACTGTAAACTTTTGGAATTCAACCAAATTAATGTGCGGTCAATGGCAAACATACCGAGCGGTAGCATGTGCCTGTTTAGTGGTAATTTTTTGCCGAAGTAATGGAAGTTAGTATAAAATTTGTTGTCGATGTCTCGGCAGAGCAAAGAAGTGTTTTCTGTTGGAAATATATTAGTTACTTTAATATATATTAATTAACCGAGAGAGTTTTCGGCCAGCAACATCACTGTCGGAGCCGTCATGCACACAAGCTGCAGCGGTAGCGTACAAACGTACATTCTATGAGACTATGAAATAGTCAGCCATGCCAACCTCGGCCGCCAATGAAACAAAAAAAAAATTTAAATGGAAAAATACGACAGCAAATGCAGTACTGGTGCCAAAATCAAAAGCCTAATCAAGGTAGCAAGCAATCGTCGTTCTCATAATCACCCCTAGCGTCACAGACATATGTATGTATGTACTTAAATTGCTGCCGCTACAGCTAGCCATCGTCATCGGCGAAATTAACGACAGCAACGACGGCCAACGACTTTGCTAGCCTCTTGGCTGCCTTTGGGCCAGGGAAGCCAACTCATGGGGAATTCCCCGATTTGCGGGGAATTTCAGTTTGCGTGGGGAAACGGGGAATTTACCTTTTTTTTGTGGGGAATTTAAAACGCTGTGACATAATCACGTTTGAATTGAAGTTTATAAGTTAAGCCTTTACCAAAAACCGTATAAATCTAAGTTTCAAACTTTCAATGTTTAAAAAAACAAATTAAACAAACTTTTGTAAAACTTACGAGCCTTTAATTCAATTTCTTAGAAAGATTATTAGTATGCAGTTTTGTAGTTCGTTCAATTCTAGTATAACAAAGTTTCAAATAGCTAAAAATTACACAATTTATTTTTATATGGAAGAAAACCGCAACACCTTCGGCAGAAAAATCTTAAACCAAAATTTTTAGCCACTCGCAACTTGTACATTATGTCACTATAATTAGTGGACTACAAAACTGTATACTCAAAATCTTTCTAGAAAATCAATTAAACAGCCCGAAATTTTACGAACGTTCCTTGATATTTTTTTTTAATATTGCACAAAGTGTGAAGCTTGGATTTATACAGTTTTGTTAAAGAATTAACTATGTTTTTATAAAAAAATAACTCAAATTAAATAACAAAAAAAAACTATTGGGAAAACTTATCAAAATTTGGTGGGACTAAAATTTGTTCGACCACTATACGTATGTTGAAATTATACCTATCGCTAGCTTAGAGTGAAAAGTTGCTAAGTCCCAATTTAAAAATTGTAGAGAAAAAAACTTTTTATAGCCATTTTCTTCAAGCATTTCGCAAAACTTAGAATACAATATTTTGCCTGTTTAAAGCAAAGAAATCAGAGGAATTCGATCTTTATAAAATAAAGTCCGTACTATTTTGGCCTTATCGAAATTTTGGAGCTTTTTTTAGACTTAGAAAATTTTTCTTTCATTGAATATGAACGAGAAAACATAAAACAAGGACCTTTTCGAAACATTGCATTTTTAATTTCACTATCCTCATGTATCAAATATGAGTATTCGTAAAAAGTGGACTTAGCAACTTTTCACTCTAAGCAAGCGATATGTACATTTTTTATTCTTTATTTGATAACTAACTTTATAAAAGTTTGGTTTGGTTTATGAATATATGTATAGATGAATTACAAATATGTATATATGAAAAATACATAATTTTTTTTTAGTAAGGACATATATATGGGGTATTTTACGAAATTTCGGGCAAAATCAGGGAATTTCATTATCGAAATCGGGGAATTCTCAAAAATGAGTTGGCTGCCCTGCTTTGGGCTCATCGTCATATTGAAGGCATTACTTATTGATAACGTCAGCATCAGTGAGTCTACAATAGCAGCGCAGTCTGAAATTGAATCTACCGTGGATGACGCCATCGCCAGTGGTAGGCCAAAGCTACATCCGAGAGTGCGTAGCACAGTTCGTAGTCAACTTGTCTTGCTTAACTATTGCACGAATGACGTCACTCCATAATCTCTTTAAATTTTTGCACGTGGTAACGCGCATATTACTAATACTAATCAAATGCACCTTTACAAGGCAGGAAAAATGCGATAGAAAGTTCGGAATCATTTACAAATGCGCATTCCATACTCAATAACTTACACCCTTAATCTAGAACCCAAATATTCGTAATTCGTAGCTACGTTACAAAAAACGAAAAATCCACATGCTGCAACGTGTGCAGCATTGCCAGCTATCAGTTGTTTTTCGAAGACAGCTGTATGAAGGAAAACAAAGTGGAAAGGAATTAAACAACACTAGTCATGTGCTTATTTATAGTAAAAGTGTTTGATTTTACATATTTTGAAGGAAACGGTGGATTCAATTGCATTTGCAATTATAGCAGCGGAGTAAGAGCGGGCTATGGAAATGAATTCAGAAAGATATGCGGCGCTGTCGGGCATAGTAACGTTAGACGCATCTATGTCAGCTTCTGGTTGAATTGTTGAACCACAAGCCATAACGCCTCCTATGCCTGAAGAACTGGTTCTCAATCCAGTTAATGCAATAACAGCTTCTTCCAAGCCATTGAAAACATGCACCTGTTGCGCTTGCTTCTGCCTTCGGCCGCGCTTAGTTGCCGGAGAAGAGGGGCTTCCGCTTGTCAAAGGTATACAACATTTCTTGTGCAAATACATAACTCCGGTAGAATCCACATCAAAATTTCAAAAAAAGGGCATAGTACAAACCGAATTTAATAGTAAACTAGTGCTCAGAAATTTTAAACATTTATTTTAAGTTAAAGTAGAAATTCTGTAGAATTTAATCAGATTCAATTTTTTTGTGCATACAGACTGGTAAGTATTGAAAATATTTGTTTTTGAAAAATTATATGTAATTTCGTCCTTCTAACTTTATCAGCTTAAAAAATTAATTATTCGTCCTTGTGAATCCAAAAAATTTTAATTTTTTTAAATTCTAAAGAAATTTCCTTCCTTCTTTCCTTCCATTTATTTGGTGTCCATATTTTTATTCTACAATGTATTGAATTTTTTAAATAATTTTTGGAATTAATCATGTCTTTGAAATTATAAAGACCTTTAAAATAAATCCTGACGTCAGAGAGAAAAAATAAAAACGCCACTTTAAAAAAAAAGTAGGTTTCAAACCCATTTATTTATTATTAATTTTATGGGAGGATGAGTCAGCTGGGGTCGTTGGATTGAATCCCACTGAAAGAAGTCTGATGAGGAAATGTGGTGATTCCGAAATAGCTATCATTTCTACCATATTTTTTGCAAATTATTGTTGCTTTTCCACAATAGTTTTTCATTAAAAACGGTCTCACGCTCAATAAAAATTGTTGAATATAATTGTTATAAGTCCATAAATAACAAAAACAAAGTAGGAGAGCTTCTCAAACAGTTTAGAAGCAATTTTTTTCGATCTAAGTTTTTGAAAAGTAATGAATATCTAAATCCCGGGACTAATCTCGGGATCCCGGGATTGTGATAACGACATCCCGAAAACCCGGGATCGTAAAAAGCCAAAAAATTAACATCCCCAGTAAGCAAATAGTGAGGCGGCGAGCAAAACATCGAGCAAATCGTAAAGAGCATCGAGCAGAGCGAAGACACAAAATTTGTTCAAATCGACGCAATGATACGTTTATCTAGGAAATTTATTTACATAAGATGGAAAACTGTAATTCAATTAAAAGATATTGTATTGTGGCCAGGGTTTTAAAATGCTGTAAATTTTTCATTTAATTTGTTTTTGCTGTGCTTTGACTTCGGCATGTATGATATCGAAAGCAAAGCAACAGGAATTCAGAAAAAAATCATTTGCTTTGGCTGTCGTTTTGCTGTAAAATTTCGAAAGCAACCAGACAATTAAAAAACAATTTGTGAACCCAGCAAACACAGTCTCTAACGTTAGAGAAATTTGGATTTCTACATTAGATTAGATTAGAGAAACCACGCAAATTCAAATAGATGTAAATAAGCAATATTCCAAATGAATGAATAATAAATTATTTTTAAGTTCAAGTAATTCATTATTATTTTACTGCAAATGCATTTAATACAAATTTTACAAGCAACGCGTTTTATTTAATAAAGCAAAACAGCAGTTTGAATTGAAATTCACATTCGAATCCCATTAGAGATCAACATTAGAATTCGATTAGAGAATTAATATTTTCTCGAGTCAAGAACTATGTCCCATTTTTGTTGAGATCGCTATGTTTCTCGATAGTTTTTCGAGTCGTTCTCTAACGTTTGAGATTGAAGAATGTGGCTAGTTCTCCAATCATTCTCTAATCGATAACTAAACTCAATGTTTGCTGGGAAAGCACAACGACAGCGCAGTGGCAGCAAAGCAACAGCAATTTGACTATAACTTGGCTGTGAAACATCAAATTGATAAAAATACATACAGTCAGTCAAAAAAGTTTAGGTACAGCGAATTTTTTACAATACGGGCACCTATTTTTTAAATATTTTATTTTTCGATAATTTTTTATAAAAATATGGTCAATTCTACAACAAAAAACCCAAAAATCAGGGTTCCGAACCTTGTGCAAAATTAAAGAAAATTCCGCAAAATGTCATTCAAATATTGCACTTTTTATTTACAGGACAGTCAAGCAGATCGCAGGATAGGAAAAGTACTATCACAGCAAATCAAAAGCAATATATTGTTTTCAATAAACTGCCGATAAAGTTCGAGCTAATTGAGAATTGCCCATATGAGTAAGAAAAACACTTAATTGCGACTTTTTTGAAAAAAGGTAAAGAAAATTTAAATCATATAGGATTACATTCCTTGACTAACAATTAATTAAAAAATTAATCCCAACGGTTTTTACCCTCCTTTCGCGCCCAACCGACACGAGGGGCGCCATCCGCATGACGTACGGAACTTTTTTTGTTTTTTGCTACAGAATCAAATTCATCAGCTGATTGGATATGCTTAAGATAGTATTTCAATTATTGAGAGTGGAAATGATAGTTTTCTTAATAGTAAAAATCGAGTCCGATATATCAAACGTGCTGGAATGAGTTGAAATCTTGACATAAACCACGGAATGATTCGTTTAGTTCAAAATTAGTTTTGCATGGCTTCAAAAACAGAGGTCGAAAGTGCCTTGACACTCGAGAGGGAACATTAAAATTTAGCTCAGCCAAAAGGGCCGGGCTATTAATCAAGCCTGTCATTAATTTAACGATAAATATTATACCTAGAATTTCTCTACGACTTGCGAGTGTAGGCCCAATTTATGAGCTTTAGACGACTTGTGTGTGGGCGAGATTGCAGTCTGAATCCCAGTTAAAATCACGAAATGCAAAAAGCAAGAATTGGTTTTGAATTGATTCAATCCTTTCTGAATGAACTTGGTAGCGGTAAGGATCTTTGAACTCTTTTGACCATCGCTTTACAAATGCAAATGCGCTTTTGGCTTTATTAACTGTAACACTAATATAAAGGTTGAAAATGAGTTTGGAATCCATTGTGATACCAAGATCGACAAGATTGGATATTGAATAAACAACTGGTTGAACAGCCCTTCGGGAGAATAACTTTACATTTTTTAAGGTTTAGTGGCATATAGTTTGCATTACACCAACTAACCACGTTGCTTAGATCCGCTTGTAACAAAGACCTTTCTTCGATAGAGGGCAATGTCTTAAAAAATTTCACATCATCGGCATACATTAAAATTTTTATATATTTTGTTATAGAAGAAATATCATTAATGAATATCAGGAACAGAATCGGACGAAGGTGGCTTCCCTGAGGAACTCCTGAAGAAACTTTAATGATGTTGGAAGAACAGGAAACAGGTCGGAATATGATCAGGTTAACGCCTGAAGGCGGACCTCCATAGCATGCATATACGTACGCGTGCGTTTGACAGATAAATTGAATATACAAATTTGTATGTCAGCACCTACATAGCAACGCATGAAAACGTAAGAAAGTTATATGGATTTTGACTTCTAAGCGCAAATGTCAAACCCACACATACGGATACGCATGCTATGGAGGTCGGCCTTGAATCACGCTTTTAGGGTTTTAAATAGTGTAAAACTTCATCGTTGGCTCTCGCTAGACGCAGTGTTGCGATAATGCATAGCGGACGGAAAACCATGTACCTTACGCTTTGAATTTACGAAAGGCACCCTGAAATTGTGCATATGGAAACTGTGCATACGAAATAATGCATATGAAAAAAACCGAAATAATGCATACGAAAAAAACCGAAATAATGCATATATGCACAGTTTCGGTTGAAAACCGAAATAATGCATATGAAAAAAACCGAAATAATGCATATATGCACAGTTTCGGTTGAAAACCGCAAAAATGCATATTAGAAAAACCGAAATTATGCATATGCACTCTTTCGTTTGAAAACCGAAATAATGCATATGACAAAAACCGAATTAATGCATACATGCACAGTTTCGACTCAAAACCGAAGTAATGCATATGACAAAAACCGAAATAGTGCATACATGAAAACGAACTTCTTTCTGAGTAGGCGGCCTTCGGCCGCGCTTAGGGATTATAACCCTTACTAAGTAGAGTTCTCCTTTCTGTGTTGCCGGAAAAGGGGGCCGGAAGTATTTTTGCGCAGAACTTCTTTCTGTGTAGGCGGCCTTCGGCCGCGCTTAGGGGTTATAACCCTTACTAAGTAGAATTCTGCTTTCTGTGTTGCCGGAAAAGAAGGGCGGAAGTATTTTTGCGCAGAACTTCTCTCTGCGTAGGCCGCCTTCGGCCGCGCTTAGGGATTATAACCCTTACTAAGTAGAATTCTCCTTTCTGTGTTGCCGCAAAAGGGGGCCGGAAGTACTTTTGCGCAGAACTTCTTTCTGCGTAGGCGGCCTTCGGCCGCGCTTAGGGATTATAACCCCTACTAAGTAGAATTCTCCTTTCTGTGTTGCCGGAAAAGGCGTAGGCGGCCTTCGGCCGCGCTTAGGGATTATATCCCTTACTAAGTAGAATTCTCCTTTCTGTGTTGTCGCAAAAGGGGACCGGAAGTATTTTTGCGCAGAACTTCTTTCTGCGTAGGCGGCCTTCGGCCGCACTTAAGGATTATAACCCTTACTAAGTAGAATTCTCATTTCTGTGTTGCCGGAAAAGGGGGCCGGAAGTACTTTTGCGCAGAACTTCTTTCTGCGTAGGCGGCCTTCGGCCGCGCTTAGGGATTATAACCCTTACTAAGTAGAATTCTACTTTCTGTATTGCCGGAAAAGAAGGGCGGACGTATTTTTGCGCAGAACTTTTCTCTGCGTACTCGGCTTTCAGCCGCGCTTAGGGATTAAAACCCTTACTAAGTAGAAGTAAATAATTCATATTAGAAAAAACGAAATTATCCATATGCACACTTTCGTTAGAAAACCGAAATAATGCATATAACAAAAACCGAAATAATGCATGCATGCACAATTTCAGTTCAAAACCGAAATAATGCATATGGCTAAAACCGAAATAAAGCATACATGCACAGTTTCGGATGAAAACCGAAATAATGCATATGTGAAAGACGAAGGTATGCATCCATGCACAGTTTCGGTTGAAAACCGAAATAATGCATATTACAAAAACCGAAATAATGCATGCATGCACAGTTTCGGTTGAAAACCGAAATAATGCATATGAAAAACCCGAAGTAATGCATACATGCACAGTTTCGGTTGAAAACCGAAATAATGCATATGAGAAAATACCGAAATTATGCATATGCATACTTTCGTTTTAAAAGCGAAATAATGCATATGAAAATAAACGAAGTAATGCATACATGCACAGTTTCGGTTTAAAACCGAAATAATGCATATGGTAAAAACCGAAATAAAGCATACATGCACAGTTTCGGTTGAAACCGAAATAATGTCTAAATGCACAGTTTCCATATGCGCAATTTCGGTGCCCCTTTACGAAACCATAAAATGATTTAGGATTGTTAATTAAATTCTTTTTAATTTTAGATAAATATAACTTATAACATTTCTTATTTAATGCAAAGTAGCTATGCCGCAAAACTGAGTACTTTACGTAATCTCTGTGTAAGCCCGATCTTTTGTACAGTTTAAAAGAATGTGACTTTTTATTTTGCATTTTTTTAAGCTCTTTATCGAACCATAATTTTATTGGTTCTTCATGAACAGAATTACCTTTTGGTGCATACTTCCGAAACAAATTGAAAACAGTATCATTAAAGTGCTGAACGCTACGCTCCACGTCATCTCTATATATTGGCCAAGATAACTTGAAAGTTCTTTGTTTATTTTTCTTTCGCAAAAACATATCTAGCCTTGAACTATAAAACTTATTATTCTGTATTTCATTTGTGATTTCGTAGAAACCGATTAATAGAACATCATCAACAAAAACAAGATCCAAGACCTTTCTGAACTTATTTGGACATGTATTTATTTGTTTTAGACAAAGTTCAGCCATTTCCTCCAGTAATACATTGCCAATAATGAAATGTGTGGCAGATTAAAATCGCCCAAAACAATCATAGAATCGGAAGGCGTAAGCATTGCATTTAGATACTCAAGTGAAGAAACTAGCTGTGTATATACTGATATAGCAGAATTCGGAGGGATGTAGCAGAGCTAAGTAAACGTAACTCTTACCAGGCGGTACAGGTGTACATTTAAATTCAGTATTTCAATGTCAGGAACACTAACTCCCTCGGATGGTATCGACGAATGCACCACAAAAAGAACACCACCGCCGATTCTGTCCTCGCAGTCGCTCCTGTATATTTGATATTCATTTGGAAGAATTTCGGAATTAAAAATATGAAGTTTGAATCATGTTTCGGTCAAGGAAATAATATTAAAATTGCAAAATCAAATCCTTTAAAATATAAGTCAGTTAATTTGGTGTTCAAATCTCTAACGTTTTGATAGTAAATACTTAAAGTTGACTTGCGAGTTACGTTTTTTGAATCAGAATTAAGATTAGAAATTTTAGCTGCGTTGTTATTACTTTTATTAGGTTTATACTCAAACTCGCGAACAAACGCCCCGGTCGTATTTAAAATTAAATACGAATTAATACATCTTTAGTTTCAATCTTAGTTGATATTTCGACTTTATATCGTCCGAAGAAACGTCTTTAGCGAATCTAGAGACAAAGATTGATCTTCTCGGAGGAATTAAAACCAACTTTTTGGTAGTGACTTCAGATATGCGGGATTCCGAGTCATTCGGAGGAACTATGTTAGTTAGTGCAGCTTTAGATGTCGATGGAAACACTGTTAAATCAACAGTCTGATTGTCGTTATTATTTTTAGACGTAGACCTAAAGCCATATCCTTAGATAGCGGAGGCTCCAATGCCTGAGGGCATGGAGAAGAAAGATTGATTAGATCTAAGGGCTGAGATGGAGGATTTTTCTGAGTGTATTCAGTGACTATCGTTTTAGGTGGACAACAAACACGCCTACGTTTATTTTCTCGACTCTCCTCGGAGTTTGGAGGTTTGTCGAGGCATGTGAAAGATGAAATGTGTACGAATTTGTTGTAACATCAGGAGTTGAAGACTTGCTCTAGTTGCTAATCTCTTAAAATTTCCTCCAATCACGTCGTAAGCAGATTTCGAATGTGAACTTGCAACAAAGTTCAATTCTGCCATTTCCTTGAAGGGATTTTCATGATTTCAGACCTTTAGTAAGGTTAATATTATTTATTCATATTGTTTTTGTTTTTTACACACCTTTCCTCTTTCAAAAATATACAATTTCATAAAATTTCAATGTCTAAGTATTTAT